CAGTGCCACCGAACACAGGAAAATATGAAAGTTAACAATACAAAGCCATTAAACACACACACACACACATACACACACACATGAGTACGTGAGTATAAGGTGAGTACACACACACACAGAACAGAGCTTTCTAACAGAACTTTCTAACAGAGACGTTAGAAAGAATTTTTTCAGTGTCAGAGTAGTTAATAAATGGAATGCACTAGGAAGTGATGTGGTGGAGGCTGACTCCATACACAGTTTCAAATGTAGATATGATAGAGCCCAGTAGGCTCAGGAACCTGTACACCAGTTGATTGACAGTTGAGAGGCGGGACCAAAGAGCCAAAGCTCAACCCCCGCAAGCACAATTAGGTGAGTACATATACACACACACACACACACACACACACACACACACACACACACACACACACACACACACACACACTCATATACACATGTACTCGGTCCTATCTTGTTTCTGATATATGTAAATGATCTCCCGGAGGGTATCGATTCATTTCTCTCAATGTTTGCGGACGATGCTAAAATTATGAGAAGGATTAAAACAGAAGAGGACTGTTTGAGGCTTCAAGAAGACCTAGACAAGCTGAAGGAATGGTCGAACAAATGGTTGTTAGAGTTTAACCCAACCAAATGTAATGTAATGAAGATAGGTGTAGGGAGCAGGAGGCCAGATACAAGGTATCATCTGGGAGAGGAAATTCTTCAGGAGTCAGAGAAGGAAAAAGACTTGGGGGTTGATATCACGCCAGACCTGTCTCCTGCAGCACATATCAAGAGGATAACATCAGCGGCATATGCCAGGCTGGCCAACATACGAACGGCATTCAGAAACTTGTGTAAAGAATCATTCAGAACTTTGTATACCACATATGTCAGGCCAATCCTGGAGTATGCAGCCCCAGCATGGAGTCCATATCTAGTCAAGGATAAGACTAAACTGGAAAAGGTTCAAAGGTTTGCCACCAGACTAGTACCCGAGCTGAGAGGTATGAGCTACGAGGAGAGACTACGGGAATTAAACCTCACTTCGCTGGAAGACAGAAGAGTTAGGGGGGACATGATCACCACATTCAAGATTCTGAAGGGGATTGATAGGGTAGATAAAGACAGTCTATTTAACACAAGGGGAACACGCACAAGGGGACACAGGTGGAAACTGAGTGCCCAAATGAGTCACAGAGATATTAGAAAGAACTTTTTTAGTGTCAGAGTGGTTGACAAATGGAATGCATTAGGGGGTGATGTGGTGGAGGCTCACTCCATACACAGTTTCAAGTGTAGATATGACAGAGCCCGATAGGCTCAGGAATCTGTACACCTGTTGATTGACGGTTGAGAGGCGGGACCAAAGAGCCAGAGCTCAACCCCCGCAAACACAACTAGGTGAGTACACACACACGTGGGGCCACGCGCCTAAGTGGATAGGGCTCGGTGGTCGTAGTCCTAAGAGCCCGGGTTCGATTCCCAGCCGAGGCGGAAACAAATGGGCAGAGTTTCTTTCCCCCTGTTCACCAGTTCACCTAGCTAGCAGTAAATAGATATCTGGAAGTTAGACAGCTGTTACGAGCTGCTTTCTGGGTATATGTGTATACGTGTGTGTTAGAGAAATATATGTAGTAGATATAATAGAGGAAAATAGATTGGTTAGAAAGGCGGGGTCCAAGAGCAAATAGCTCGATTCTGCAGACACAAATAGTAAATATACACACACACACAGGACAAGGAAATGGAACGTCAGGGCTCGTATGATTTGATACTCATTCAAACTTATGCTTACACATAAGCATAAATTATGTTACGTTACACTTATACTGTGTAACTATGCTTACACACAGCATAGAGAGGAGAAGCACGACAAGGGTGCTCAGAGATGAAATGATGGTCGAGACAGACTTAGAGAGATGTTGTTGTTGTTTAAGATTCGCCACCCGGAACAAAAAGTTCCAAGTAGCACGGGCTATGGTAAGCCCGTTGTGGATTACGACGTAGAGAGAGAAAACCCAAGATTTCAAGAACAGTCGGGGAGGGTAATGCAGAAGTAAATCCAAAAACAGAAGATATAATCATGTGAAACTTTAAAGAGAGATCTGGAGGATATGAGAGAACACCGTTTAGAAATGATTGCAAAAATAAGCAATACACGTGAGGGTGGGAACACAGAAATGGAAGCGTTTCTACTTAATATTGACTCATTCGTTACAGGTTCCGCTCCTGGCGTACCTATGTTATGATAACGTTATTTCATCATGTTGCCCGTTTTGGTGTTCAGTCTCAACGTACCTAATTAGAATACCTAATTCTTCATACCTAAAGAATTAGGTATTCTTTACCATAATTGCAAATGTACTCTACCCAAGACACCTTCCTAACCTATTGATTCATAGAAAACGGGAATTTTTGTAATCGCTATTTTTCAGACCACTGTGTGAAAAATAATTTAGAAAAATTCATAATTTAGAAAATTCATTGTCTCGGGGGACAGGCAGCCAGTGTATATATTTAGATGTTAAGCTTTTAATGAGGTTCCCTTTGGGTCGAATTACTGACCCTCCCCAGGATGCTACCCCACAACAAGCTGACTAACTCCTGGGTACGTATTTACTGCTAGGTAAATAGGGAGCCGGTCGGCCGAGCGGACAGCACACTGGGCTTGTGATCCTGGGTTCGATCCCAGGCGCCGGCGAGAAACAATGGGCAGAGTTTCTTTCACCCTATGCCCCTGTTACCTAGCAGTAAAATAGGTACCTGGGTGTTAGTCAGCTGTCACGGGCTGCTTCCTGGGGGTAGAGGCCTGGTCGAGGACCGGGCCGCGGGGACACTATAGCCCCGAAATCATCTCAAGATAACCTCAAGATAGGTGATCAAAGGCTTTAGTTGCGAGGAAAAGCGCCCGAATACGCCCGGGATTCTAACCCGGAAATCCCGATTGAGAGTCGAGAACAAACCCGGTTGTATTGCCGAGAGTCCCGTCGACACATCCAAATTTAATTTCAAATTTAAATTCAAATAAGTTTATTGAGGTATAAATACACACAAAGGGATGAGATACAGGCGATGAGTCACAATAACGTGGCTGAAGTATGTTGACCAGACCACACACTAGAAGGTGAAGAGACGACGACGTTTCGGTCCGTCCTGGACCATTCTCAAGTCGATTGTGTCTTGATCGACAATTCCATTCTCAAGTCGACACAATCGACTTGAGAATGGTCCAGGACGGACCGAAACGTCGTCGTCCCTTCACCTTCTAGAGTGTGGTCTGGTCAACAAAGGGACATACAGTATGGTACCCGACGTACACACAAATACTTATATTACTTGACGTCGACACATGGTACACCAAAAAAATAATATCCGATACGTATCTTCACACCTTCCAGAGCAGTTATATTGCTAATTATATGAGCCGATAAGATTGTAGAGAGGACACAACGCGCTATACTATTTTTGTGGGCTCTTCAAACTCATCAGTGAAGAAAGGTATTAGAAAATATTTACGGGTTAATGGTTATTAAAGGGTGTATTACTGTAACGTGCTTGTGAGTGCTTGCGTATGTGGGTGTTTGTGCCTGCAGGATCGAGCATTAGCTCTTTGAACCCGAGTTTCTAGTCGCCGGTTGTATTAAAGCAATGACTCCTGTCCTATTTCTCTTCTATATCTACTTTTAACGTTCTGAATAGAGTTTGCTTCCACAACCTGCTCCTTTATCTCATTACATATTTCCACTACTCTTTTGCTAAATGAAAACTTTCTAACATCTATCTAACTCATCTGAGTTTCAAGCTTTCGCCCATGCCCCCTTGTTCTACTGGCAGTCAATGTGAATATTTCCAATACTTTCACTCAGCCAATCCCTGATTAGTATTTTTTATATGTCTTTATCATGTCTCTCCACTCTCTCCTTTTTTCTAGCGTCATGTTCATTTCTTCAATCGCTTATCATTCCCCATCCCCTCGTAATTCTGGGCCGAGCGTCATCGCAAACTTATGAACCTTTTCCAGTTTCCATGTGTGTTTTATTTAGTATGCTGGTCCATGATGGGGCGGCATACTCTAAGACTGGTTTCACGTAGGCAGTGTAAAGCGCTCTTAATGCCTACTTTCTTCGGTTCCTGAATGATGTTTTAACTCTTATTAGCGCAGAGTACGCTGCTGCCGTTATCTTATTTATCTGTGCCTCAGGAGCTTTGTGTGTGTGTGTGTGTGTGTGTGTGTGTGTGTGTGTGTGTGTGTGTGTGTGTGTGTGTGTGTGTGTGTGTGTGTGTGTGTGTGTGTGTGTTTTTAGTATTTGTATCTGCAGAATCGAACATGTAGCTCTTAGACCCCGCCAATTTATTTTTCTAACCAATTTATTTTTCCTTTATTATGTCTACTACATATATTTCTCACTAACACACATTCATCCCCAGGAAGCAGCTCGTAGCAGCTGTCTACCTCCCAGGTACCTATTTACTGCTAGGTGAACAGAAGCATCAGGGTGAAATAAGCTTGGCCCATTTGTTTCTCCCTCGGCTTGGGACCGAACCCGGGCCCTTAGGACTACAACCCCAGAGCGCTATCCACTCAGCCCGCGCGCGTGCGTGTGTGTGTGTGTGTGTGTGTGTGTGTGTGTGTGTGTGTGTGTGTGTGTGTGTGTGTGTGTGTGTGTGTGTGTGTGTGTGTGTGTGTGTGTGTGTGTGTGTGTGTGTGTGTGTGTGTGTGTGTGTGTGTGTGTGTGTGTGTGTGTGTGTGTGTGTGTGTGTGTGTGTGTGTGTGTGTGTGTGTGTGTGTGTGTACTCAGGTTTACTCACCTGTGTATACGTGCCTTCATGAACGTGTCATGAAAGTTGTTATCCTGGTGTACGTGTAACGTGTTTTATCCCGAGAGCCGCTCACCCTGGGAGGCCAAAACGTTTGAGCCGAGGCTACCACTGGGACCCCTGGCAGGAAAACCTCGCTCGCAACTTGTCCGCGTTCAAATGCCATACGGCGCTATGTATTAATTATTCTCTCGTATTCAAAACTACTCCATAAATCCTGTTAGCCACATTGCGATAAAAATAGAGTACTTTTTTGTTTTATAAAGATAGGCTATACATGACTTAGCTGGGAGAGGGATACCGCCGCCCACGCTAACTCCAGCATGTTTGAGTCATGTTTGATAAGTGAGTATATATGTGCGCGCGCGCTGGGCTTTAGGTCAGTGCTGCCTTGCCCCTCAACTGACTGGGACTACCTCCTTGCTACTGAGGGAGAAGCAACACGGAGCTACCGTACCTGTGACGTGGATACGTTAGAGTGAACGCGAAATAACGGTGAAAGTGTACAATAAAAACAACTGCACTTTTAGAGTTGTTATTGTTGTAAAAACATTGTGATATTGTAGTGTTGAGCCGTCAATGTATAAGAGATTTCCACAGGAAACATATATTAAAGACTCCTGGACGCCCAGCTCGAGAGATAGACGTCACAGCGAGCCACCCTAGAGCACCGCCAGACGTTCAGTGGAAAAAAAAAAAGCTTCAAGTTTGTCGCGGCAAAATTTGAAAAGGCAAAGATGGCGCGCAAAATAGGAATGCTGCCGGAGAGGACAGTGGCGGAGGTCCAAGGTGTCGAGGCGCTGGTAGTTCACGTGGCCGGGAGAGGTCGCTGCCTGGCTTGTGCAAGGAGAAATAACTCCAGTACCAGTAATCAGGTTGTTGCCTCCACCATCAATGCCGATGTCATCTCCAATGTGGATAATGTTAACGCTGAAGCAGTTATGAATAATAGATATGACATCGACGGCAGGAACATGGAGTTGATCAATATTAATACCGACGCTCAAAGACAATCCAGTGTCAGTGCAAACGTAAACGTGTATATTGACGTGGACTACAACACAGGACAACCTCTAATCGCGCATATTGATGACCTTGATGGCACTAACAGAAGGCTCAGGATATTTTTGGGTATAACTCTGCTAATCAATTATATCACCAATACGAACTACCTATGATTAACCCACAAGTAAGTTTATATTTTGTTATTAATTTCTGTACCATATAAATATATAAGCTTAAATTTAAATTCATTTAAATATTTAATTTGCTTAAAAATATATCATGAAAATATATATATATATATATATATATATATATATATATATATATATATATATATATATATATATATATATGTATATTTAGAGTATAATAATAATATTAATTGGAATTTGAGGTACCCAATTATGGATAGGGTAGACTGAAAACAATTTAGCTTGCGAGAGCTCCTCTTAGTACCGCTCGTTAAGGCTGGATGGTTAGGCACACTCCAGGAATACAACTAGGTTTGTTCAATTAGTCTACGCCTTCTTATTCAGTTAAAAAACTTTTCAAGTACATGAGGAACTTAACTATTCAATATTTTAAGTTATTTAATGGGCAAAAAAATAATGTTAACTACAAAAGTTCAGTGGCCCCAAACGAGTCAGTTCCTTTTAATACATAACCAAATTAATTCAGCTTTATATATAACCTTTTGAACCAATCCAGCAATCTCACGTCTACTAGATTACTCAGTACTTTCTTCACAAACAAATTTGTATTTCCTATTTGAACTGCAATCATTGATAAGCTCTAAAGTATATGATAACTTTTACCGAAAATGCATTTAATTACGCTTCAAGCAAACTAGGATAAATAACCACCTGACTACAACTATCATAGCAAATATACATGGAGGGTCATAGCAATATAAAGACAACAAAACTAGTTTTCTCACTTGTAAATATCAGAGTCTTTCCTGAATATTTACAGTATCCTCAAACTATTCCCATTTTCTTTATCAGCCAACCACCACCCCCCCCCCCTTAGTCCGGCAGTCCCCCGCCCACTGATTCCAACTTTCACTAAGGAAGAAGCTAACGGTTCTTGACTTTTTTTCCCTCCAGGATTACGATACGTTGCGAAGGCCATGAGAGGCAGTGAGTCATGAGTGTAGCTCACCCTGCCTAGACACAACCGAGACCTTAGGTGTGTCGGATCGTTTGAAGACAACACAAGATATAAAATATTGCATGATTAGAACACAGAATAAGCGATGCACCTAAGGTTGTTAACCCCGATGAGTCTGGTTGTGACTACTGATGACTGCATGGGACCACGGGCACTGCAAATACGTCTAGTTGTTGCGTCATATGGTGTAGTGGCTAGCCAGCCCATCGAGGCGTTGGGGGAGAGTCACTACACTGTAGGAATTAAAATGCCTTGATCTTCGGTTGCAGCTGAAAACCGTACAATCTACATCAATCATATCAAGCAGCGTTGTAGATAATCCAACTTCTAACCAGTGTAATCTATCGGCTACTTGTCATGTTGAGTAGTCGTCTATTGTTTACAGAATATGGATTTATTTATTTTATGTCAGGATACAAGACATGTGATGTATCAGTTGCACACAGAAGTAAGACTTGGATTCATTGTCTCTGACGCCACAACACACATCAGTGCACTGTGATTTTGTTTTTGTCATCTGCATTACAAATAATATATTTTTTAAAATATATTTTGCTCCAATACTTTATTTGCTAATTATGTAAATGTTTAACAAAGTCAAGACAATTAAAACACCTTGAACAGTAAAGAAGAAAGTTAAATGTTATCTATAAACATCTGAATGTTAAACTGTTTATATTTCAGAATGTAAAAATAATTATATTTTTTCTGTAATCTAATATCTATTCTGATAATGACAGTAACAATTAAATGGAATAAAGAAATTAATATAACTTTTTTTCATTACCTGAATGCAAAATATATAGCTGCGGTGAATTGAACTAAAAGATGTTTGGGGACACAATCTACTCAATTAAAACATTTATCCGTGGTTCCACAGAATGTACAGCACACTGCCTATCCAGCTGCTCCATGCTTAGGTACACTTGAATTGTGTAAATTCAAGCCTAAATTGATCACAGATATCTAACAAACTATGTTAATGTTATTATAGCAGCAGTGTTAAAATACAGTACGAGAGAACAATCACTTTAGATCATAAAATAATTGTGTAATCTTATCAAAATAGTTCCTGGTGTGAAGTGATAGTGTTTTCACGTAGTTCACACACACATTTATTTAACCTTCTCACTTATAGACAAAAATTAACACCATACATAACAACCACATGATGTGTGTTAACAGTATACACGATACGTTCCTATATATGGTTCATTCAGATACATACTTTTCACCTGTCCATTAACATAAATATTTTCAGTGTGGTGATCATGTCTCCACTGATTCTTCTCTATGCCAGTGAGGTAAGGATTAATTTTTAAGTGTTTTCTTAACATTGGAACTTGTCTGGTGGCATTACCACAAACAGATGATGAGTCACAATAACGTGGCAGAAAAATGCTGACCAAACCACACACTAGAAATTGAAGAGACGACGACGTTTCGGTCCGTCCTGGACCATTATCAAACCTATTGACCGAAACGTTGTCGTTTCTTCTATTTCTAGTGTGTGGTTTGATCAACAGTACCATAAACTTCCAACAGATTCGGTTTGTCTCAAACAAGACGTGAACTCCATGTTGATGAATACACACAGAAATCACAATAGCGTGATGTATAAAATGCCTTGACCATGCCGTGGCCTAGTCGCCTAAGGCAGCGTCTGGGATCATCCCGGCCGTAAGTTCGAACCCTCATCACGACCCTTGTGGATTTGTCCATGTTGGTGAGATTGCGAGTAGTGAGGTTGAGGGTGTAGGATGGAGGGGATGTCGTCCGGACATGGGATGTGGATAGAAGCGAGTGTAGCGATGAGGAGGAAGGAAGGTGTTGTCTGGGAGCAGGTTTGCATTGGTAGCAGGGTTGTTGATAAGGATGTCGGGTGGTAGTTGAGTGGAGTGAGTCAGGTACGGTCAGTTGTGTTGGGGAAAGAGGATGTGGTGTAGGTGGAGAGTAGTGTTAAGATAGTGGGGGGGGGGCCAGTGTTCAGGAGCGTTGGGGGGGGGGGAGGGGGGAATGATTAGGGGAAATGTGAAGGTGGTATTTGGTGGGGGGGGGGGGGAAGATTTCAGGTGTGACTGGTCTGACACATTCCTAACCACATGTGTTAAATTTGTGTGTGTGTGTACTCACCTAGTTGTGCTTGGGAAGGTTGAGCTTCGGCACTTTAGTCCCACCTCTCAACTGTCCATCAACTGGTGTATAGGTTCCTGAACCTACTGGGCTCTATCATATATACACTTGAAACTGTGTATGTGTGTGTGTGTGTGTTAACGTGTGTACTTACCAAGTTGTGCTTGTGGGGGTTGAGCTTTAACTCTTTGGTCCCGCCTCTCAACTGTCAATCAACTATATATGTATGTACTTAGTGCCCAGTTGAAGTAAGCTTATTAACGAATAAATACACATAATGGGATTAGGTAACTCAAGATATTCCATCCCCGTTTAGTACAACGTGTTCACACACATCACAAGCAACATATTACCCAACTAGACGTACTGGCAGAGACCAACTTGACTGGTAGCCCCGTGAGAGCGTGTTTTATCAAACTTTTATAAAAATGACTATTCTTTATCTCCAATCCTCCAGCTGCCTATTATGTATTTTACTTTCATTATCACATATTTAATTCGCATAGCGCGAATGAACATAGTTTTATTTGTATATCTCCTATGCAGTTAACAAACTGAAAGTTGGTGTACTATTGTGATATACTGATCTCTCCTTAGGCCTAGGGTTTGCATGCAAGAAGGGGCTATGTTTGGTTTAATCAGTCGTTGCATCATTATATTGATAACGAAGGTCCTGTTGCTGAGCTGGTGGATGAGGTCTCTAGGGGAGTTTGTTCATGGATGAGGTCACCAGGGAGTGTGGTTGTGGTGAGGTCATTAGCCTGTACCGAGGACACTGACCAGGAGTTGTAAGAAGCGACGGTGATACATATGTCCCCGAGCTGACTTGCTCACGCGACGCCTTCACACACACATGCGATCTAGTGTGTGAAGGCTCCCTCGCACGCACCCTTGAACGCACACACTCGCGCGCACTCTTTCCACACCATCGAACGCACACAAACACGCACCCTAGCACGCATCTTGCATGCACACACCCCACGGTCTACGCAATGATGCACGCACACAATCTTTTCCCACAGCACGACAACGAATGGAAGCATGCGAATATATACACGCATGCACACACACGAATGTGAATATATGGAAATAAGACGGGAGTCAATGTTTTAAACAACCGATGGCCAGAAGGACGGGATTCAAGAGCTAATGGTCGATCCTGCAGGCACAAATAGATGCATACAAATAGGCGAGCATACACGAATGAACTTGTTTATGTCCCTGCGTCACTCTCTCACCGGAGATAAGTCGTATATATCGCCAGCTTGGTTCCACTTGCTCGGAGATAACGAGTTAATACCTCCTCTAACTCCTAACTCGAGCGAATGTCCAATACTATTAAAATTATATATATTTTACGGCCATTTTATGCCTGCATGATTCACACTGCGGATTTGAATACGTAAGTTTATTTGAATATATATGTTCTATGTTTATTTATTTATAGATGTAAACTGATTTTGTGCAAAATTTGTTTTATATTAAAGTAATATAAGTTTTCCATAATGTTTTGTATATTTGTATGGAAGATAAACCGTAGGTATAATTAAAATGCCATAATACTTATTGTATTCTAAATTCCTAACACCGTAATAATATTGTATGCCACAGGTTGGTGATGTAGACTAGGATACACATACTCTGCTTGTAGGTGTATCTGCGGTGAGTTTACTGTAGTCCTGAATCATATTTGGTTCTAAAAAGTATATGTGGTGGCTGGTAAATGAGCTCGTGTGGTTTCTAGGCCTTTACATCAACACCAAAGTAAAAAGTATCAGCCCCAGAACTGATTGCTGTTCAAACCTGCCAGTTGCTGGTAGGATAATTATCTGAGTGTTGTTGTTTTAGATTTAGCTACTCAGAACGAAGTGTCCATGTAGCACAGGCTATGGTGAGCCCTAACTGAGTTCGGTTATTCGCGATAACCTTGTTACTATATTTGGGTCTAAGTGTTGTGATCTGAGTATACATCCGCTGTTAGAATGTAACAGACAAAGGTGTTGCGTCATCTGTGGACAGCTATGTGTAGATGATGTGCTTCATGGAGCGGGCCCGGTGCTTCCCAGATTTGTTCCTTAAGGATAAACGTATAACCCGGGCTCTGTACGCAGCTGCTCAGTAATGCTTCATTGTAAAAGCACTCAACAACTTTCTGTTCAACCACTTACGCTGGACGGTAGAGCGACGATCTTGTTTTTCATGCAGGTCGGCGTTCAATCCCCGACCGTCCAATTGGTTGGGCACCATTTCTTTTCCCCTCCCATCCCAAATCCTTATCCTGACTTCTTCTTAGTGATATATAGTCGTAATAGCTTGTCGCTTTCTCCTGATAATTCCCTCAATCACATTCTGTGGTTGGGTGCTCAATAACTTGCTGCACAATATCTAGGAGGACAGAGCAATAACCTTATCTATGTAAGACAGATGATAATGAATGCATGCTGGATAACACAGCCAAAGCACTACATTCACTTTATGTAATTGAGTGCTTAATAACTCACTACACTATGTGATGTTTAACAGATCTCTCTAATCCTGTCCATGGAGGACAGAGAAAATGTATATTTATTTATTTATTTATTTATTTATATATATACAAGAAGGTACATTGGGATTGTGAGGATACGTAGCATAGCAATTACATTCTTGTAAAGTCACTAGTACGCGCAGCGTTTCGGGCGTTTCGATATATGATACGGGATGATACGACAGATAATATATATATGATGGTTACCATCGTAAACGTTCGTGGTTGAAAATAAACTAAAAAACTGCCTCAGGGAGGTGATATGAGATGTTACACACGGCTGCACTCTATACGTATGTCGCAGTCTTGCCACCAGCGAAGTACTGATATATGCCATTTCATGCATTAGAGTGATTAGACACTAGGTTATTTTCAGTTCATACAGTACGCTGGCGGATATTTATGTACATTTTTGTTTTCAGACTTATCAAGCCTAACGTTATCTAAC